GAGAAGCCATAGTAGGGTTATTAATTGGCCTAATTTCAAAATTGTGTGTCTTAGGAAACAGGGAGACCAGAGGAGAGGAAAAGAGATGGGGAAACTGCTGGTCATGGAACACTCAGAACACAAACATTTATCTAGTAAGTTCACTCTTTTGTATGAGTATGGTTCATGGTGCCCCAAAACAATTACAATAGTAACATCAAAGATCACTGATCACAGATCACCCTAACAGATATAATAATAATGAAAATGTTTGAAATATTGTCAGAATTACCAAAATGTGACCCAGACATGATGTGAGCACATGCTGTTGCTACTCAATGCAAGGTGGCCATAAACCTTCAATTTGTAAAAAATGCAGTATCTGCAAAGCACAATAAATCAAAAGCACAATAAAATGATGTATGTCTGTGCCTAAATTGGGAATCTGTCTCCAGAGAGAATTCTAATAATTTGGGCTCATCCTGCCTCCCCTCCTCCCCCACTTCCAACAAACTCACCCTTCAGGACACCCTCTGACCAATGCCTTTATGACAAAGATCCTTCCATCTCACCCAACATAAACTGAAGGGTTAGTTAAATTGATTTAAATAATTCTAAGATGGTTATTTAAATCTCTTCTCTCTCCCTTTTTTTTTCTACTTTTCATCTTTAATGTTCATTTCTAAGGATGTCAGTCCCCTTAGAAACCTGCAAATAGGCTGTGTTTATTATGATTAGTTTATTATCAACTAGGATATCAGAGTTTCCTGGTTTGATTGTCTAAGATTAAAAAACAGTAGAACTGAGCCTCAACAGTGTCAGCATCAATAACATCACTACTTCTCATCAATTCACTGTATCGAGCAGGTAAGGGGACCCCTCTTCCTCCCTGGATTTCCATAGGTATGATATGCTAGAACTCTTAAGAGGAAGGTTTCCAGGTTGAGAGGCTGCAGTTCAAGAGGTAAACCAACTTAAAAGTATGGTGGCTTTCCTTGCCACCATAAAGGTGTGGGAACATATTCGTAGCTAACTGCTACACAGTCCACACTATCCTGTTAGGCCACTGACTGCTGACGTAGTGGACAGGAGAGAGTGGGGGCAGCGGCAAAACTATATGTTATCATGTGATTTCCTCATCTGTTAAAAAAAAAAAGGATTGGGGGGGAGTTACACAAGGTGATCCCTAAGGTCCCTTCCAGTCCTAAATCCTATAGAACACCTTAGAGCTTTGGTTCTGAACTAGCCAAGTGCCTTATTCAATTTAGCAATGAAATGGGCACTACAAGTTTGTCCTCAGTTCCAGGAGTCTCCCCTCTGCTCCCAATCTGAAGCTGTGACCTGGAGTCAAACCCCTAGGACCCTTTCTGACTCCTGCCCCACCCTGCAGCTCACCCAAGCAACATCATCTTAAAATTCTTTCATAGAGATTTTATTTCTTTAGGTCATATGACTTAGAGCTGATTTAGAAAAATCCTCAGGGATCATTTAATCAAACTTCTTCATTTTGAAGATGAGGAAATAGTCACCCTAAAAAGTACCATCTCTTCTACACCAGATATGGTACTATAAGCCACACCTAGGATTAGAGCCCTGGTCCTCTGACTCTAAATCCAGTGCTCAAACACTCACTGACTCCAAATTTTCACCTGACCTTGGTCAACTGATCAAACAACATGTTCTAATAGAAAGAAAGACTATAGGATTTAATAATCAAAAGACCTGGGTTTAAATTTCAAGCCTGCCACTTACTTGCTGTTTGACCTTGGACAAACTCTCTGAATGCTTTTTTTAATCTGTAATATTATTTTCATTATGCCCATATCACAAAGTTATTATAAGGATTCAACGAAAGAATGTATGTAATAATGTGCTTTGTAATCACATTTTGTTTTATAAATGTGTAAGCTATGATTTTTTTTTTCCACCAACCTTTTCACGGCTCCTTTGGCCAATAAGAAAACAGCTGGATATTTTTTTATTTCCTTCAAAGTCCACTTAAATTCTACATGCATTTTCTCCTTTCCATCTTCTAAGCTTCTCTTATTGATGCTTTTCTAAAAGCCAAACTTAGCATCCCTCAGGTAGAGAGAGACTAACTTCACAGGCAGATACTTATTCCTTTTCAATCAACATACCCATTCTCAGTAAGCCCCTTGAGGGGAAGGCAGCTTTTCATTTGTCTTGGTATCTTCTACCCCAAGCACAGCGTCTTGAATATAGAAGGTGCTTAATAAATGTTCCTTGAAATGCATCGGATTGGGATCTATTGCTGAAAGGAGGGAAAGGAACCCTGGGCTCTGGCTGGGGCTTTGGAATTCCCAGTGCTTGGCTCCCAGGCCATCGTCACTTACCGTCCTGTAAGCTCCTTGCTCAGAGGCCAGGTAACTGAGACTTTGGCTCTGATAAGTAGGAGACACACATGGTGTAAATAGAAGGAGCACAGGACTAACAGTCCTATTAGTGAGTCTACTACTACCACCTAGCAATGTGACCTTGGACAAGGCCCTTCACCTCTCTAGGTTTGTCTCCTCCTATGTAAAATAAAGGTTTGAACTAGATTATCTCTAAGATTCCTTTCTGTTCTAATTAACATGCTTTGATCAGATCTATAACTAGGTAGATTGGCATATCCGACAAATTCATATGGGGAGGGGAGGTGGTGGATCACAGAGGGACAGAGGACAATCTCATCTCTGAAACAGTCATACCAGAAGGTGGCATGGTCCCAGAGAGGCACCACAGTTAAGAGACCTTATGGGTATCAACAAGGGGCCATTTTGTCACATACCACAAAGGACTTGGAGGCATGGAACAGGGAATAAGAACATTCCCCTCCCCACATTCACACCCAGGAGAAAAGCCCCCTTCATCCTGTACTAACAACAGCTCTGGCTAGGATTCCATGATGCAATTGTGTTATTCTTCAAACTCTAGGAAAAGGAACAGTTTAAATTAAGAACCCAAAGTTTCACAGAGTTAGGTTAAACTGTTAGAAAGGTAAGGATGGTGAACTCTGTAGTTGATATTATCCCAGCATACCCAAGGACAGAGGGTCTGAGGCTGGCAAACTTAAATTAGATCCTTAGCCTGCCAAATTCACCTATTGTGTTTGTGGAATGATATGCTATTCTTTCACCAAGCTGAAAGCATCTAACAGTTCTTAATGCTATGATTCAAGGAAGAGGGAAAATGGCAAATGGCGACCTTTCCCAATACCAATAAAAGCTCCAATTCAACATGCAATTATGTGAGATAGTAAAGACAAACACCAACAAGAAACAGAGTCTTTACAAACACACTTTGTACAAGAGTAGAGAGGAGCATCTATGCATCCTTGTGTGTGTGTTTTTTTAAAGGAGCTATCCTGAAAGCTACCAACTACCAATTACCACCCCTAACCCACACATCACACCTCTGAACCCCAACTCTCCAACCTGATGCCAAAGAAATCCTAAGTCAAGTCGAGAAGACATAAAGCTCTCCCCTATGGAATATCTTTTTCAAAGAACTAAGAACAGATTCTGGGAATATGCTGGGAAAACTGAAGCCACTAAACATCTTTCTACAGTGTGTTTGTGGTTATTGTGAAGCTTTTAAAATCCGAAGAAATGGAGAAAGAGTACAAAAAGGGAGCAGTCCCAGCCCAGAGTTCCAGCCTTCCCTCTAAGGAAGTTAACAGACACACGTGTGCAATTTCTTCTCCTCTGGCAAGAGTCCTAAGAAAAAGGTTAGACTCTGATAGATCTTTGGAGCATCAAAAGTCACTTTTCAAAACCCAGAACCACGCAGGGGAAGCCTAATGTGGCATACAGTAAGAACTGAGTAGATAGATTAAGAGGCAAGAATTAAATCCAGAACCCACTAAGTCCTCTGGTGATAATGTCCCACTCAAAACTCAGGCAGTCTTTGGGGCCTGGTCTTTTCCAACGCTGGGGTCGAGGTGGAGAAGGGAGGCAGGCTGAGAGCCATGAACGAATGAGGATGATACCCCGGACAGCAGAACCATATATAGTACCTCACCGGGTCACAGGGCCGGCTACAGCCACACCTCAATCGGTTGTGGGACTGGGGGATGGGGTGGGGTGGGGGGGCTCAGAAGGGGTGAAGGAAGAGTGCCTTCCCCTAAGCCCAGCCGATGCAAATCACAGTCGAGAGCTATTTATATACCCTCTCTCTCCGTAACTCGAGCCTGGTCATTGCTTCTGTCCGGTAACCTCCTGGCCCAGAGCCCAAAGTCAGCCAACCAGGACCCCGACGTGAAGGTCTCCTGGAGGAGGCCGCGCCAGGGCGGTAAACCCAGGTCCCCTGGCGCAAAGAAAGGGAAGACTGAGCCCCACGCCCCGCTGGGGGTTAAGGGCAATGAGGAGGCAAAAGAATACCGAGGTGGGGGAAGGGCCCGGAACTGGAGGGCTAGGCTGGTCTGAACAGGGATGGAGACTGAGAATCTCTGGAATGGAGAGCGCAAGGGTTGGAGATGGGATCATGGTGGAAGGGTGAGGTGCTGCTCTCGGGTTGGGTATAGTAAAAGGGAGTTGGGATGGGGAAGTTCCTGAACCTCGAGAAAGGGAGTTAGCTCCCTAGCAAGGGGTGTCCCTCTGGTTCCTGTACTAGTTACGGGAAGAGGGATGGTTAGCAAGGTAGCCACATGGCGAGGACAAGGAGAGAGGAGAGGGGAAAGAAGAAATTGGGACAAGAGAGGGCTGGGCACTCTCTGCTCTCTGGCCGGCCCCAGCTCTTCCACAGCAGACGGAATCCCCGGAGCTGTCCGCTCAATTCCACAAAAAGGAGCTGTGCCCGCCTCCCTCAGCTCTCGGGCCTGGGTGCGCCTCGCCAGCTCCCCAAGGAACTGGACCATCCTGCCCGGGAAGAGTTGGCCACCTGCTCCTCCCGAGCCGGCGGAGAGAGGGGCAAGAGTAGAGAAGGGCTTTCTACGCTGCTGCCTGAGCCGAGGTGAGGTGAGGTGAGGCGAGCCGGCCCGCAGCACAAGCATCCCCAGCAGCCAGCACCACCCGCGGTACCTGCGCTCCTGGTCTCAGGTCTCTAGTCCCTCCCGCTCCTGCTCCAGCTCCGGCTCCGGCTCCCGTGCCCGGCTCCACCCCCGCACACCAATAGGGTCCAGGTCCAGGTCCAGCTCCCTCCAGCTTCAGGAACAGCCGCTTTGAGAGCGATTTTTAAAGCCTTTCGCTCGCCTCGGCTCGGCACGTACCCCGCGCACGTCACCATCTCTGTCCAGGCTGGGCTCCTCATAGCGCCGCCCCCAGCACCCGGCCCGCCGCGCCCTGACCCCAGCCGCGGAGTTTGAGCCTGGCAGCCCACGTGGAGCGGAGGCGCAGACGGGGAATCCCGGCAGCCGGCGAGATCCGGCGCCACCCAGGAGTTCCCAGCTCCAGGTCTCGGCACTTTGAGGGCTCGAGCTTGGGGGAAGTGGAGTGGGGGGTGGGGGCGGGAAATCTTTGCCCTCTTCTTCTCTTTGGCACAGTTGAATTCCTAGGCACCCTTAAAAAGCCAGTTTGAATAGAATGATTTTGTTGTTGTTCAGTAGTGTCTGACTCTTTGTGACCCCTTTTGGGGTTTCCTGGAGTGGTTTGCCATTTCCTTCTCCGGCTCATTATACAGACGGGGAAACAAGCAAACAGGGCTGAGTGAGTTACTTGCCCAGGGTCACACAGCTAGTAAATGTCTGAGGCTGGATTTGAACTCAGGTCTTCCTGACCCTAGGCCCGGCTCTATGCATTGTGCCATTTAGCTGCTGGAATAGAAGGTTGATGTGGTGGAAAGAGTACTCAACTTATCAGAAGACATCTGGGTTCGAATCCTGTCTCTGATACTAACTAGATAAGTGACTATAGACATGTCATTTAACCTCTCTGGGCCTCTATTTCCTCATCCCTAAATTAGAAGTAAAAACCCTATTTCTGCTAAGTTGGGAGATAATGAGATAATATATATATAAGAGTGCAACCTGTTTAGACTTCAGCAAAGCAGAAGGTGTGAAGGGACAAAGGCAAAGACATTGAATGTAAAGGGAAAGCTCTTTCAGAAATTAAGGAAAACTCTGTGGCAAAGATACTGGAGTGGTTTGCTGTTTCCTTCTCCAGCTCATTTTACAGATGAGGAAACTGAGGCAAACAGTTAAGTGACTTACCCAGGGTAACACAGCTAGTAAGTGTCTGAGGCCAGATTTGAATTCAGGTCCTCCTGACTCCAGGCTTGGTGTTCAATCCACCGAGCCACCTAGCTGCCCAAAACACCAATAGGAATCTGGAAATGAAACTGGCTGGTTACCATAAATACTTGTAGGGTCCTTCGCTGAGGGAATCAGGAATGCTTGAATAGGAGAGGCTAGACCTCTCCCACCTTTGGACTGGAGGGAACAAACTGAGGCTCTGAGGGAGTCAAAGAGGAAAGACTTCTGCTAATAGTCTAATAGTCACTGCCATTTCTGAAATAGCATGTGGATATTCCAGCTGAAAACACTCTAAAGTATAATAACACCTGGCTGAGCCAGAGGCTAGAGGTCATAGAAACTGTGATTATTTATCAAAGAGTGAGATCAAGTGGTCCACTGAATCAGCCAGTTCACCCAGAAATCCCAGGCCTATCAAAGAGCCCCGAAGCCAAGTGACCAGCTTGGCCCAGCCTGGCACCAGCTGCCTAGTGACCTGGCTACCTGCCTGGCCCTGTCCAGAAGCTAAATGACCTGTTTGGCCTAGCTGCAGCAGTTGGGGCCCCAGAGCCTAGCATCTTGCCTAGTCCAGCCCACCAGCAGAGCCTGGTGAGGGAATAGCTCAGCAGCTGAGTGATCTGTCCAGCTGATACCCCATCCCCTGCCTGGCAGTGAACTTCAGTGCACAAAAACAGAAAAACAGAAACATCCAGAAACTTTGGCCACTGAAGAAGAATTCTGCCAAAGAAGTGAAGGACAATTTGGAAGAAGAGAAGCAAGAAGAAAGAATTTTAAAAGAAAATGCCCTAGCCATATAGTCGAACATATTGATCTTGACGACGGGATGTGTAAAAACAACTTAAAGGTTAAAGGTCTCCCAGAAGAACACAGGGCATCCAGGTGGCACAGTAGATAGAATGTTGGACCTGGAGTCAGGAAGACCTGAATTCAAATGTGACCTCAGACATTTACTTAACTGTGTGACCCAGGGCAAGACACTTAACCAGGGCATCTATATGGTGCAATGTATAAAGCACTGAGCTTGGAATTAGGAAGAAAGCTTCCTGAGTTCAAATCTGTCTTCAGATACTTACTAGCTATATGACTTTGGGCAAGTCACTTAATCCTGTTTGCCTCAGATTCCTTACCTGTAAAATGAGCTGGAGAAGGAAACGGCCAACTGCTCCACTCTCTTTGCCAAGAAAACCCCAAATGGGGTCACAAGGAATTGGGCACGACTAAACAACAACAATGTATCACCGAAATCACCAGTCCACTGAAAAGAACGTAAGTCAAAAAATATGAACACTGTAATTCAAAAAATAACACAGGAAATGTCTGCACACAGAAAATGAAATGCCTTCCAAGAATCCACAGATCTCCTTCAGGAAACAAACTTCTGCAAGCTCCCAAGTCAAATAATGGTTACATTTAACAATTCCAATGGCGTGTGTCTGGAAATCAATGTACCAAAGTACAACAAATTTGTTCGCAGATTCACATTACCTTTTAGCCTCTGGTATGAATTAGCCATCTCGATGATTTCCATCTTGATTCTCTTCTTCAGTCTTCTCATCTGCAGGAGGACAATGACATATCACACAGAGGTGATGGTGAAAAGAGTTAATGAAAGTAAAAAAAAAAAAAAAGTCTGGCCAGGAGCCCCGGGCTATAAATGAGAAGCCTTGGGTTCTAGGCTCAGCTTAATCACTGGCCAGCCTTCTCAGCAAGTCATAGCCTTCGTTGGGCCTCCTTCCTTCCTCTGTAAAACTGAGTGGATTGGACTAGATGGCTGCCAGCCCTTACCTTTTATGATTTTCTGAAATATAAGGGATGATGATAATGATGTGGCTTCTGAGAATTCTGCCAGGTCATTAAAGCTGTCTTCCTCCAATAAAAGCATCAAAAGTCTAAGAGGTTTCAAGCAACCATTGCAGTAACCTTCTGTCTAGTAAGGAACATAAAGAAACAAAAGTTACCTAGCACTATATTTCCCCATCCCCCAATCTCCTTGTGCTGAAATTGTTTATTTTTGTTTATTTTTTTTTATTTTGTTAGGCAATTGGGGTTATGTGACTTGCTTAGGGTCACAGAGCTAGTAGGTACCAAGTGTCTGAGGCCAGATTTGAATTCTGGTCCTCCTGACTCCAGGGCCAGTGCTCAGCTGCCCCTGCAATTGTTTAGAACATACTTTCACTGGGTCATGGCTATTGTGTAGCTGCCACGGTTCTAAGTTAGGGCCAGTTGGACTGGACTCCTCCCTGGAGGGATCCAATGAGCTCTAAGACCCACAGAATCCCACACTTCCACAAACGAAGGATAAATACATTTTGGAAATTTTAAAAATGTATGTAGAAATTATTATCCTAGACACATTTTATTTATTCAAAGGAATGAATGCAAAATTCCAAACAATATAAACTATCTTGGAGAATTGTAGTTCTTATGGATGATAATAATAATAACTAGAGATTAATAGTAGCTGACATTTATTTAGCTCTTTAAATTTTGCAGAGCACTTTGATGTACATTATCTCATTTGAGCATCACAACAACTTTATGAAGCAAGTAGCATAGAGGTATTATTCTCCCTATTTTACAGATGAAGAAACTAAGGCACAGCAAAAAAGACTAAACAAAGATCTGTCCTCTCCCAACATCCATCCATCAAATCCCACATTCCTACTCCTTTTCCTTCCCTCCTTAGTTTATAGACTCTGTTTAATGTTTACATATCTGTGTTTCTAAGTATGGATTTGGAGTTCAAGGTTTAAGTCTGTCTATGTCCATACACAGGTGGATACCATGCAGGGGAGCTGTGCTGGAGCCAGCTTGAAGATTGATTATTGTTGATTGTCTAGACTTAAGAAAGTGATAGATAAACTGTTAATATGTGTATTAAATTTAAAAGTGTGGTATAGGTATATTTTTCCTCCTTCTCCCGGCCCCCACCTCCAGTGAGCTGGTTGTTAAAATCTTTAGGAGCATAGCCCTTGTCTTGTACACTTTTGACCTTTTATGCCTGTCATGGTTTGTTGTATCTATGACATTCATATCTCCATTTTGCCCACATTCACTGCATATATACATCTTTTTCTCTTTAGGTAAAGGCTTGATCAAGGCCTGGGAAGGGAGGGAGTGCTGGAATGGCAACCTGAACTCCACTGTAACCACAGTTCCCTCTTCTCATACCTACTTCCAGAAGACACCTGTCCAGAGTCCATGCCTGTGTCCTCTCCTGCAACTTCCTGGGGAAGCCATAACCTGCCATAACCTTCTTTAGCAGCCTTGGGAATACAGCTCCAAAGACAACATGTCATCATCCCTGGCTAGGGAAACTTATCCCCTTACTTCTCCATACAGTAGCAAGAGGTTCAGTCTAGTAGTTGAGTATCAGCAACAACTCACTATGAGATTATATAAAATGATATAACCATTGACCAAGTTTAAAAGGGGACTTCGGGGGAAACTAGGTGGTGCAGTAGATAGAGCACCGGCCCTGGATTCAGGAGGACCTGAGTTCAAATCTGGCCTCAGACACATAATACTTGCTATGTGACCCTGGGCAAGTCACTTAACTCCATTACCTAGCCAAAAAAAAGGTGGGGGGAACTTAGCAATCATCTAGTCCAATATTTTCGAACTTTTTGGTCTCAGGACCCCATTATACTCTTTTAAATTATTGAGGACCCTCCCACACACAAAGAGCTTTTATTTATAAGGGTTATATCTATTAATATTTACTGAATTAAAAATGTTAAAGTCTTAATATTATTATGAAAATAGATTTGATTTTGTAAATACTTCTAGAGGGGTCTTAGGGATTCCCATGGGTCCCTGAACCACATTTTGAGAATCATTGATCAACTCCAAACTGAGGAAACTGAGTCTTTGAAAAGGGATGTGACTTCCCCATGCTCACACAAGTTAGTGGCAGGGCCAGGATTGTAATCTCTGTCTCCTGATTCAGTCTGGTGCACGATACGGAGCTGCCCACCCCAAATTACATCTCTTTCTTTAGGGCTGCTAAAAGTCTTTGCTTTTTTAGGGAGGTTGTGGTGTG